TCCAGTCACAGTTCTTGTCCATGGCAATGGTAAAGGTGGGCGTGCCCTTGGCGCAAGACCTCGGCTGCGAATCTGCCGGCCCAGCGCGTCGTGTGGCCTGCTGGCCCCTTCCCCGGACTCCCTGCGCGCCCCCGCGCCGCGCACCGAGCACGGCGGCAGCGGAGCTGCCCTGCGCAGCCTGCGTCCGCCTGTCTGCCGCGCCCGCAGCGCGGGGTAGCGACTAAGGCGGGCCGGATTCTTTGGCGAATCATAGTACATCTAAATAGTATCGTTTACTACGAGAGACATTTTGAGTGTTATCAAACCCGTGGAAAAGACAGGCTGTGTTCCCGGGCATGCAGTCGAAAGTCTGCACAAGCACTTTCAGTTTTGCGAAAGTGACAGCCCTCTAGCACTAGAACTACCAGAGGGGTCAAAATGACCCCTTCCGATTTTGAATTGCCAAATGAACTATCAAAATTTTTTTCTACCGACCCGCCACTTTTTGACTTTTCATGGGTCACCAAAATACGCTTTGACACGAAAAACCAGGCATGTGCGTCAAAAACTTTAGGTGATATTATAACATATACCTCGCTCTACCGAAGGGGTCATTTTGACCCCTGTGTAAGTTTTCGATGGCTTTGATGGTTTTAACGAGCGGTTTTCAACTTAAACCTTGCCATTGTTGTTCTTTGTGGAAAGTGTTGACTTCCGCTTGGTCGTGTGACTATTTTGAAGCTCCATCAGCATAGGTAGGCAAGCCGCACATCACAAAATCATGTTTTTCTTACATAATACTTATGAGGCATTCGCAACAGTACTGTTAGCCTGAAAACGCGCTACATGGTTGAACGGAGGTTAAATATGATAATAAATGGTCTATTACGACTGTTATTGCACGGTATTTGTGCACTGTTTTATCCGCTGAACCAAAGTTCCAGAATTACTTACAGTATTGGTGATGTTTACGGTTGTCGGTCAGACTGAAATAAACACAGACTATTCTAAAATGTTGAGAATTAATGTATTAGATGGTAATCCTATGAAATTTTCTTAAAACAAAACGAAAAATTACGAAAAAATCTGTAAAACTTCTGAAAAATTACATTTTGTGCTTTGCAGGTTGCCTACCTACCCCTTCACAGGGACCCCCGTGGGTGGAAAAATTGCTTGAAGTGTTAGAAAAAACGAAAATAAGAAGTTGTGTACCCAAAACCGCAGTCTTTTCACAGCTAAAACGGCGAAGTAGTACCTAGGGGTCAAAATGACCCCTCCGGTTGATCTAGGTATACGAAAATCCCGGTGGTTCTAGTGCTAGTCGCGTCACTGAAGGAGCGCGTTCAGCAAAAGTGGGACCTCATCCTGCCTGCTTCTTATCAAGATTAAAAATGCCAAGGAGCTGGTAACGTTCCTGTAGTCAGCGACGTAAGTCACATTCCTGTAGTCAGCGACGTACGCCTCTCAACTGTCAGAAATTGTAATTCAGGAATGTGACACCAGATGGAATTCTCTATGCAAGCAAAGTGCTATAGTCTCTCATGATTGTGTATGACGATCTAAGTTTTACATTCTGAAGCTTTTTCCGCCCCCACTGATTGATTGCATACAGTAATAGTTGTTTATTCTATTTTTAGTCTAAAATGCTTCTCATCGACAATAATGAGCAGTCCCGCCTGGGCGGCATTGATGTGGTGGAGTTGAAGTGGCTCCTTAAGTTTCTCTTGGTATTCCGCGAGGAAACGGACAAACTACAGGGACAAAAGTACCCCACCCTTTCCTTTGCTGCTAGCAACGTGTGAGGTCAAGGACCACTGTGAGCCAGTGATGAAGGATACTCCTGCTCAAGCTATCCTTAGATCACGGTTTGCTGCTGCCGTAGCTTACAAGTTGCAGCCGACCGAGGCCGACAATGCCGCAGAAAAATGCGACATTTTTGCGGCCGCTGCAGCCAGCTTAAAGTTATCTGACGTCGATCGTGATGAGGTTAATATTTATTGAATTTCTCGTACAATTCCTTGCGATTCGTTATTATTATTATTATTTTTATTATTAATACTTATTATTTATTATCAGGTTAACTCCACTGTTCGGGAGCTATTAGCCACCGCTTAGACGGTTGAAGCGAACCCTGACGCTGACTTGACGGCTCCACCCAGCCCTAAAGTACGACGTCTCTATAGCAAATAGTACTAGCTATATGTATGCCAGACCACGTCTCGCGTAACAGGCTTCGTGATATCTCACGAAACACTGTTACGCTGCGACGCGCCTGGCGCACATATGGCTAGGCCTGCGGCGCTGACAGCCGAGACGAGTTAACAGAAGTGTATATGCAATTTGTCGATGTTAAGTTTTTTTATGTTTACGATTTAATAGACTATGTGGTAATTTTCACCTCATTTTTGTCAAGAGATGCCCCCTAGCACCCAAACGGCGAAAGATAGAGCAAAACGGACGAAATTTTCGCCCAGAGAGCTCTACTTTGATGAGTTACCCCTTCGAAACCCATAAAAAAAGAAAAAAATACATTTTGCGGAATTCGAATGTGGTATTCGATTTTTTTTAAAGTCAATTTTTGAGCTAGAACGCTCAACTTCGAACTCGATCTGTATTTTTATGATACAAAACTACCCTAAAAATCCCAGATCGCTATCTCAATTCCTTCTCGAGTTATCGTGCGTACAGACAGACAGACAGACAAACAAACAGAATGAAGCTTTTCCGGTCAGTGGAGTAATGGGCTTCGCTAATCGCTCAGCCACCAAGTGATGCCGTACTGGCAGGCAGGGTGTGCTAACTTAACTTAACTTTATTGTTTTTATAAATGTTAATGTTGGAGTTACCAACCTTACCATTTATCACAAATCTGAATATTAACGTTTTTCCCTTTATAGCAATACGTGAAGTTATGATCTTATAACGGTAACATTAATAACTTTAGCGGATTAACTTCGGAATTTTCGTTATTTTTTTAACGTTATAGACGATAACAAAAATCGCACCCAAATTAATTTTCGTTAGTCGATTTAACGTTATTGTTTCGACAACAGAATTTTTGTTATTGAATTGTCAATAGACCATTTTAGGGTTAGGTGATTATAATAAGAAAAGAATAACAAACCGGAAAAGCACTGCCTTCTAATCGCCCCCCACCCTCCGCGTCCCTCTTCACCCTTCGCTCAACTGTTTCCTCTTTCGGTTATTCTTTTCTTCTTCTTGTCCTTGTCACCGTGACTGAAATGGTCTATTAACTCAAAAAATTAAACATTTATCAGCGCCCACAAGCGGCAATTCTCGAATCGGAATAAGTAAGTAGCAAAAGTACATTACAGACGGCGTTGGGGGGTTAAGTTTAATGGTGTGTTCAGTGTACAGCACAATTTCGGTACGATCCTGCGTTGGATAAAAGTACGGATGAACAGTTATGTAATTCATTAGGATGCAGGTTCTTTTCTCGCTCACTTCGGAT